GAATTAAAGAGGAAAAAAATTAAAAATTAAAAAGGAAAATAGAAAAAAGGAAAGAAAAGAAAGGGGGAATTTAAGAGGAAAAAATTTGTAAAAAAGAAAAAAGGGAAAAAAGAAGAAAGGGAATTAAAGAGGGGAAAAAAGTTTCAAATTAAAAAGGGAAATAGAAAAAAAAGGAAAGGAAGAAAAAGGGGAATTTAAGATGAAAAAATTTAAAAAAAGAAAAAAAGAAAAAAGGGAAAAAAGAAAAAAGGGAATTAAAGAGGGGAAAAAAATTAAAAAGGAAATAGAAAAAAAAGAAAGGAAGAAAAGGGGGAATTTAAGATGAAAAAATAATTTTAAAAAAGAAAGATGGGAAAAAAGAGAAAATGGATTTAAAGAGGGAAAAAAATTAAAAATTAAAAAAATAGAAAATAGGAAAAAAAAAGAAAGGAAGGGGGGAATTTAGGAGGGAAAAATTAAAAGAAAAAAGAAAAAAAGAAAAAAGGAAAAAAGAAAAAAGGGAATTAAAGAAGAAAAAAATTTAAAAGGGTAAAGAAGGGAGAAAAAGGGGAAAAAGGGGAAGAAAAAGGGAAAAAAGGGAAGAAAAAAGGGAAAAAAAGAATTAAAGAGGAAAAATATTTTTAAAAAAAAATTAAAAAAAGCAGCAGAGCCGAGAGTGGAGGAAACCCGGGGGTCTCTGCCGGGGGCACCACCCGAGGAAGGGGAAAAAAAGGAAAAAAAATTAAAAAAAATTGGGAAAATGTTCAAATTCACCCAAAAAAAAACCCAACAAAAAAAAAAGAAGTGGAAAAAAGTTGAAATTGGCCCAAATTTGGACTTTGGGGAGGGGGAGGGGAGGGGAGGGGGCTCCGAGCGTCCCGGGATGGGAATTCCCAAATTTAATTCTCATTTTAATTTCATTTTTTTAATGAGAAATTAAAATTTAAAATGGAATTTAAATTGAATCCATTTATTTATTTAATTATATTTCTGATATATTTATTTTTAAATTCATTTCATTGCACTTCATTCTTTTTTTTAATTAATTTTAAATATTCAAGCTCATTTTTTCTTTATTTTAAATAATTTTGTTTCATTTTTAAACTTTTATTAAATACTTTTGAAATTTATTTTTTTATTTCAGCTAAATATTTTCTGGGGTTTTTAAATTTTTTTTAAATATTTTCAAAGGTTTAAAACATTTTAAAATTTCTTTCTTTTTAAAATTTCTCGTTAAAATTTCTTTTTAAATTTTTTTTTTAATTTCTTTTTAAAAATTTTTTTTTTAATCTTTTTCATTTATCCTCATTTTTTTTTTAAGACCTTTCAAGACTATTTGAATCTTCACGTACGGAAATTTTATTTTTTTTTTCTTTCATTTATTCGCTTCTTTATTTTAAGAATAAATTTATTAAATTTTAATAATTAATAAATTTTAAAAATAATAAATAATTTTT